GTAGTTTTATAAGCTGTGTGATGGTGGGTCCTTGTAGTTTATAAACTGTGTGATGGTGGGTTCTTGTAGTTTTACAAGCTGTGTGATGACGGGTCCTTGTAGTTTTATAAACTGTGTGATGGTGGGTTCTTGTAGTTTTATAAACTGTGTGATGGTGGGTCCTTGTAGTTTTATAAACCGTGTGATGGTGGGTCCTTGTAGTTTTATAAACGGTGTGATGGTGGTCCTTGTAGTTTTATGTAAATTACCAATGGTCAAATTTTCACCTACTAAATGACCAGAACGTAACTTTTCATTTGCAGACACAACTGTTATTTATAAGCACTTATCACGGACATAGAATCTCGAAGTGCTTCACATAGATCAAAATAAATCATAAAATCATAACAATCTCAAAATAGACATAACATCAGAAAAAATAATGTCAGAAATAAGCGACTTTACAACTTATAAGTTGGAATAATCATGAGTTGAACGAACAAAATGTTTAAATCAAATGTTTGAATTGACTGACGTCTTCAAATTGAATATTGTTCCTGCAATGATCCATTTCAGATCTTAACTACTCCAGATTAGTAGGTGTTGATTTAACAGGTTACCGTAAATCCTCTAATACAGGCCCGGGCCTGTATTTGACTCAAGCTCATCAAGCTCCAGGCCTTTATTGGAAAGAGGGCCAGTATTAGAGGCAGGCCTCCATTTCTATTTGAGCAAAATGAACTAATGGTTCGCTGGAGTTTTTGACAATTAAAATTGCGTCCACATTTTCAAAGTTAAACACATTTCTTTTAACAACGGTAGTTTCTGCTTCAGCCCTCTCCCCCCTCCCCCTGCGCAGCGGCCGCAAACTCACTGATGCACCTGCAGCCTCTCGGAGTTCCTGCTGCTCTAAACATTAAAATAATTATTTCATTTTCTGTTCCTCACTTCTGATTACCTTCAATGGTGTCTGTTTGTTGCAACCACCAGGTACAAAAACTAACTTGTTTTTATTTGGCTATTTTTCTGTCCTGCCTGTTTATTATCTTCCTGCATCTCCTCTCAGTCCTAAAGAGAAACTGCTACCTGGGTTCATATATATTCACCTCATGAGTTACCTTTGAACTGCAGTTCTAAAAGATCTACCGACCGCTAAAACAGCAGAGTGCCGCTGCTCGCCGGCCACATCAGTTAGGTGCGTCACTGGAGGACAAAACAGGTGTGTGTGTGTGATTTCTATAACAACAGCAGCGAAACGCATCAGGCACAAATAAAAGAATAAAAGACAGAAAACATAAAAGGAAATGAGCCGACATGAACGATCGCGTGTTAAATTAGTTTGTGAGGTGGCGACACCTGATTTGATAATGTTACTGTGGCCGTGCTCAGGACACAGATGTCTGGAGCGCGTCAACAATCAGAGCTTTGCATGTGCAAGCTGGTTAAGGTTAGGATGGGGGTGAGGGGAAGGTACAATTGCAAGAGGGTAAACGTCACAATTTGGTTAAATGCCCGTTTTACGGCGGGTGTCGGTACCGACGCTCTGGCACAGCGTGTTGTCTCCCGACGCGCAGGAGCTTGTCACCTGCTGACAGCAGGCTGCTGTCTTTTCCGTGGACTGCATCTTGCCGGTCATTGTCACGTGACAGCGACTAGTCGATGACGGGCATAAAAAGTCACTATAGAGCGGTGAAGTCGACTAGTGACTAGTTCATACAACCCCTGCTACTGCTCCCCAGTGTTCTGCAGCATAATCAGCACGTTCTCTTTGAACATGATTTCAAATTTTAACCTCCTCTTCGGCTCCGCACGGTTTAAGTTACCCTCGCGGTCTATCACTGGCAAATCAAAAGTGAGACGATGACACAACCGCCCCCCGTACTTGCTTGTTACCACATTCCACCCGGCCACAATTAAAAAAACGGCCATTATTCACCTCCGCCGACTCCGACACCGGCCAAAATATGATACCCGGCCATTAATTGAATACAGGCCAATATTAGAGGATTTACGGTAATCTAATCTCATACACAGTATAATAAGATAATTATTAATGATAACATCCACTTCACATAACATTCTCATTCACACAAAGAGTTAACCATCTTTGTATCTGAAGGAAGGAGGGACGTTCTGCCCTCAAACGTGTCAAATTCTGATTTACCAAATTTATAAACAATGGTATTTAATAAAACCGGCATTACTTTCTGATTAATTCAGTTTCCAGCTGACTTCCGATTCGGCCAGTGTGCTTTAGATGATTGTGACTGAGACAGCTAGTCAAGTCTAACTCAGAATGTTTTCCCCTGCCTGTTTTGGATCTCAATGAGATCTTGGATCATCTACCAAGAAAGTTCTGCGTAAACCATTCTACCCAGATCAGTACTCATCATCGGACAAGTTTGGGAGCTTGACCTGGGTGTTGGATGACCAGAGAAGATCTGGCACGAGGTTTTATGGAACATTCATAAGTCGTGTGAGGTTCATTATTATTCAGTTCAAAGTGATGCGCCGTTTTCATTGGTCCAAAGACAGACTTGTCCGACCCAACAGACATATTGGTGTTCTACTTTTGGTACACTCATCCAGATTAGTAGGACCTCTGACCTCTGTACCGCTTTGTTTCTACCCTGGTGGTGATGAGCTACGATGTAGCCACAGCTACCCTGGGGCACACTGACATAGGCGAGGCTGCTGAACACGGGTGCCACCGGTCCCACCAACCACCACCAGCAGGTAAGGTGGGTTATGTGTCTTGCCCAAGGACACAACAGCAGAATTCTCTGGTTGGAGCCGGAGTCAAACCTGCAACTGTACAATTACTGAACAACCCAACTATCTTCTGAGCTACTGCTGCCCCTCCAAGATATAAAGCACGGGGCACATCAAAACAAAACCATTAAAAACATTTTAAAATATATAAAACAAAATGGGGGAAAGGAAAAAATTTAGATTAAAAAAATGTGAAGAAA